TCTCCCTTCCTTCCTTCCTTCCTGCTGGTACTAGAGTTTTAACTCAAGGCCTCCTGCTTTCTTGGCTTGCTTGTTGGCAAAACAGCTACCATTTTAGTCAATCCTCCAGTCAAATATTTTTTTCAAAGTGGCAAAACAGGGAGTTTAAATACAGAAAGAAAAAGACAGCTAAGGGAAATGGCATACAGTATAGACTTTTCTGCCTAGGATGGTCTCAAATTGTCATCCTCCTGACTAGTAAAGATTATAGATGTGAGCCACCAGTGAGTAGAACAAGAATGTAGAATGCATTCTTATTCTGCTTATTTATTTTCTTGCACAAACTAACCCCTATCATTTTAAGCTTCAGTATACATATGCCTTCCTGTATAAGCAACTTATCATTACACTCAATAGGCTCATTAGCACCAGTAAGGCAACATATGAATGACCAGAGTAGCTTACCTAAAGTCAGGGGTGGTGGAGTAGGATCAAGAACATACTCTTTTTCTGGGTCTTCCACTTTCGGGACCTGTGTATGTTTTTTAAGTCCAGTATCTATCATTGCTTTTGCTTCTTTCTTTACAGATTTTAATCTGTTTTCTTTCTTTTGTATTGTTGTCTTGGAGTGGCCCACAACTGACAGATTTCCAAGTTGAAGATCATTTAAAATATGATCTTGTAAGGCAACTGCAGTGATTGCTAAGTTATCCTTTTTAAACGAATGCTCCTAAAAAAAAGTCGGGAAAAGTCTTGTCAGAATACTATTATTTAGAAGAAAACCAAAGCTTTCACACCTGTGGTGACACACTACCAAACCAAACTGTAATGAAGGTGGAGCACTGCAGCCACAGTCAAAGTCCAGGTTCATCTGTTAATATAGGGATACCTTTCATTTAATTACTAGAGTGTTAATTAGTCTAAGTTCTTTATGACTTATAACCTGTGCATGCCCCAAGTCATACTGCTTCAGTATAATTAAATTAAACTCCAGGAAAGTATGAAAGAGAACCTTGCACTTTAGTATGAGCTTCTCTGTGAAGATACGTTTCTTAGACAGAATTAGAGCTGCCTGGGCCAGCAGAGGCCACAGGAAGAGGCACTTGAAGTTTCCTAACCTGTCTGCCCACCACCTTTCACTACACCTGTCTTCCACTCCTGCTCACAATTCCTACTTGAAACAAAGTTGCAAACTATATTCTCAAAGGGCCACACCTGACCACAAGATAGGACTAAAATCCCATGACCGTTGCAGGGGATGGAGTACCTTGTTTTTGAACATGCTCAGTCAGCAAAAGCTGTGGCAATCATCACATTCCTTTCTTCTGCTGTGAAAACATCAACAGAAAGTCAGCAGGCGCGATAGTAATGGGATTGCAGTCCAACACTGTGTTACACAATCTAATTCTGGAGGAAGAAGAGGAATCTGAGCCGGCCATTACCTGATTCAGCCCTGTGAAAGAGCTTACCACTGAGCTGAAGACAAGTGGTCAGGAAACGTAATACTGTATCTAAACAAACACAATTTCAGACCAAATCAGACCAAAGACAAGTGAGACTACTAAATGAGCCACCCGCTAAAGACACAACACTTAGGCTGAGATTTGAAGAGCAGAGGCGTGAACGTGCTGTGCCTCAGGAGCCCGCTAGCAGCACCGAGGAAGGCAGCGCCTTTATTATTTAGGGACAAGGGCAACAAAGAGGAAACTGGAAGATAAATCCTGGCTGCTTTCACTGATTCCAACTCTGCTCTACACTTCTTGGGACAAGATACACGATGAGTCTGCACCTACTGCCTCCGTCCATACACAGGCACACACCAGCCAACGCTGCGGGGCTGCTGGACACGTCCGCTAGAGCAACTCTGTGACGGGGCCACACGGAGACCGCTGCACGCGGTTGTGGACGCTTACAGTGTTTGGACAACGCTATGTTTTATGAAGAACCCAACGTTTACGAGGATGGAGACCCAAAAGTTACTCAAGGGATCCAGCAGGTGGTTCTGCGGGCTGCGCCGGGTGTACGCGCTGCAGGGGCGGTCTCCCACCTGCGAGGTCCCGGGAGGGAGA